GGTGGATCAGTTGGACGAAACCCTTTGTCCAGGGGTGGACACACACACACACATATGTCTGTATGATGCCAAACCTCCCTCGCTCCTCAAAATCATCCCACTCTTTCAGCTGTCCAGAATCAGGACTCCACATTTATATAATTCACATGCTGGATATTGACACATTGCCCACTCCCGACCATTGTCACATCACCACTTTCAGCAATGGTAGAACACTCACCCACTCTCACCCCCCTTTTGTAGGCACTGTGCCAGCGCGCGTGCGGTTTCTCGGTGGCTCCGAGATGCTGGCCCTCCGACTTCATCTCCCCTTGCAGCTCCAACAACTTATTGTAGGGCAAGACGCAGGCCTAACAAACGACAAGCAGCGCATAAGCTCACAACACTGCTATGTGAGCATCTTACAGCTCTGTGCATCTTCTGATTTAGAAGCAAGTCAGCAAGTATCACAAGGATCTGAGGGGTCTCGGCTGATCCTTGGACACGGCTTGATCCGGGAGTTGCCGCATGTCTGGGTGCGGTCATCTTCTAGGTCTTCTGCGCCCCCTTTCGTTGGAGGGCGCCGCCCTTTTCGAAATCATGGATGCAGCACCTTCGCAGACTTCCCGGTGCCAAATTCTAGGTCGCAATGGCGAATAGGAGTTGTCAGTGGCGAACATGTATAGTTTCAAAACATTTCAAAGGGATGGACGTGTTTAATCAAAATGAAACGAATACGTCAAGGAAACGCTTGGAATGTTGTTGGGTGTGTTGCTGTGTGGAAACGCAGCACACGGAGATACTTGAAGTATATATCTCTTGGCTTTGTCATGGAAGGGCGCAAGCAACTGGACCGGGCGCCGATTCAGGACGGCGATACCAGTACCAAAAAAGTAGCCGCAACCGGAACTCAAATGCAAGAACCAAAGTGTCAAAACCGCAGCCCCTACACAAAAGCACAAAAGACGCATACATTTATATGCTTTAGCAATAATATTGCAATACTTATTACACTAATTATATAATGTACAGTAAAATGTATACTGATTAATGTTATTTTCATGATGTAATCTACCTATATCTATCCATGAAGTATGGCAGGATGCCAGTCCTACACATGAAAAACACCTCCCAATGGAACCTCTGCTATGCCAGCTCCCGGCCTTGCTGTCCGGCAGGTCGCGAGCCACCAGGTATGCGAACACCGAGCTTTGGGTGCCAACCTCACTGCTGTGAGGGTTTGATGGGCCCAAATGGAAACCACTCTAATTCCCTATAGGGGTTCAAGTAATTACCTTCTCAGAAGGTACTTGGACCCTCCAAACCTATAACAGATCATCACAGTGTCTCCAATCAAAATTTTTGAGAAGGTAATTACTGGGATGCCTCTACAAAAAATTCCAGGCATGCGACCATTGATTGCCATCCTGGATGCCATCCTTTGCTGTGGCCTCTTTTCATCTCTTTTTTCGTGTCGGTTCCGTTTGAGTTTCGCGAGTGGGCTTTTGATGGCTTTTGAACTGTGCTTTGGTTGTTTGACTTAATGTGTCGAAGACTCACAGGAACAAATACGTGAAACAACATAGGACACGCAAACACAGAAACAAAAAAAACACATAAGAAACAAACCCAACTGAAGACTGCCCAGGCTACTGGACCATGCGCCTGGAATTGAAAGGTGAACTTCCTCAGCAACACCCGGGGCCACGGAGGGGGTTGATTGCTTCGGTCTCTCAGACGGCGTGGTTTATGGAGTCGTCCAGAAAGGGGCCACTGTCAAGACGGCGGTCTTCCACCCGAATGTTCGGCCACGTCTTGAAGGTGCATCCTTGTTGCTACTAGTAACAAGTGCCACGCTAGTAGTAACAAGTGCCTTACTAGTAGTAACAATGTTTGCTATTAGAATTAAACATAAATTAATAGCTTCTTGTTACTACTAGTAAGGCACTTGTTGCTAGTAGCTTCTTGTTCCTAGTAGTAAGGCCAGGAGTCACTATAGTAGCGTCCTTGCTTCTAGTAGCGATGCCAGGAGCCCCTAGTAGCGTTCTTGTTGCTTCCTTCTCTATGGAATCCGCCAGGCATCCGCAGTGGGCTCTGCTCCCAAGAGTCGATCATATGTCTCCAGACTGTTTTTTTGGCTCTGATGAGAAAACACCTAGAACTCATTGAAGCCATTCCCATCCCTAAAGCTCCAAGTACCTCCTCAGAAGGTACTTGGAGCCCTAGGGCATATTATCCTACACGAACCCCTTAGGGACCTTCGAAAAGTGGCGGGCTGCCGGTCCCAGCAGTACGTAAGGGGGGTTAGTCCGCATCTCATGCAGTCCGCAGTCCTTGAGTCTTGGCTAATCTACTTTCCTTGACGAACAGGGGGTTTTCCACTTCCATGTATGTGAGTGAGTAGGAGTGCATCAGTCCTTTCTAGGTATCAGCGGCAGACTTGGACAGCATCATCATTGGCCACCAAGCCTCTGCCGGCTAAAGGGCTTTAAAATCACTGAAGAGGGCACCACCATGAAGGGGCACGAAGAGCTCAAGTGGGTCCTCCAGTGGCTCCGGCAGCTCGGTATCAAGACACAAAAGAGGAAACGCTGACCCGGTCGACTGGGCCCAACAATCCAATCAAATGAGTGCACCATTTTGCGTGCACGAAACGAGAGCTCAAACACCGGCTTCCCCTCTTCAGGTTCCCCTCTCCACCCTGGTCGCCCCCTGGTCCTCGGAACGTGGAGGCGACAATTGTGGATCTCGTTGATCAAGCGATCCGATAAACGGTTGAGCGAGCCTACAGAGAGTCGTGCCGAGGACAGCCGTGGGGGCTGAGCCAACCTCGGGCGCAGCAACGACTGAAACAGAATGCCCAGCATTGCATGAACAAGAGCCTTGGCCTGGAAATGCATGGAAAGTTTCCAATCCTGCATCCAATCTATGGGCCTCATGCAACATGCAGCCCCAAGAAGTCCAGGTCAAATAAACAAAGCAAATATCAAATTAATGAATAAATGAAACACATATCCTTTGGGTAACCTATGCAAGGATCCGCAAGGAACGGAAACGAACACGTGACAAAGAGGAATCACCTTTCAGCAATCAGGCCACTGCCAATCCACACGCATGGGCATAAAGCCGCCATTGGCGATCTCGATGGTCTGTTGGGAGATGTGGCCTACTTGGGTGCCAGGCCGTAGCCAATCTAAGCGCCATGGGATCAACTGCCATGGCGAAACACCATCTTCGCACGGAAGCGGCTTCAAATCGTCTTTGAGCGTTGGCCAACGTGCTAACTCCAGGCGAATCGCGTCGCAAACAGCTACTAAGGTCATCAAGGTCCTCTCGCCATTGTCACCTTCCACATAGATGGGACACCGATGATGTCCTACCTTGTCAGCATTGAACTTCACGCACAACTCGATGCTTGAATTCGCATCCATGTAGAAGGAGGCCGGGGAAACAGAGAAGGATCCCACCACCAAGCACATCTCAGAGCCAGGGAAGGTCTCATAGAAGTAATCTTCTGGTGGATCTTCTTCGTTCACAATCAGCCGAAAGGCACCTTCACCTCCAGAATTATGAATTCGCACCATTTCAGTGATGTTGTTGCCTGAAGAGGGACAGTGGGTCCCAGGCGCGGAACGGGAGAGGTCGTATTGGAGCACTCGAAAAGATCAAAATCGGCCTAGCCTTGTCTGAAAATGTCCACACTGATTACAGCAAACCATGTGCATCCTTTGGCCCCTGGACTCGCACAAGGTTCTTACAGCCATGGTGCCTTAGTGGTCACCACTCCTTCTCCCAGAATTCCACCATTCAGGTAAAACAGGCGAAAATCCTTGCAACATCTGGCAAACAACTTCCAAAGCCTGCTATATTCGTCTTGGATCTCTTGCCTTGACTTTCCAAGACGTACCAACACTTGCAGCTTCGGGTCCTCTGGTTTCGACCAAGGGAAACAAACGCCCTCCAGTCGCCTTATTGGGGTGATTTCATATGGGACTGGAATACTGACTGGAATAATATATATATATGCCGATCAATTGGCCCCTTTTCAACCATCCCCAGTCCCAAACAGGTCGTGTCTGGGTATCGTTTCCCATGTGGCCTGCAAGCATGCAGCCGCAGTCCACCGGATCCGCGATCTTTAGGCTTGGCTGCTCCCGTCTCGACAGCAAGGGCAGCTCGTAGTCGCCCACCTCTGTGCAAATGGTCAGCACATCGTTCTCGTCGTTCAGCGTGCTGGGTGCAAATTGCCTGGATCAGGTCATTGGATCGTTCGCACAAATCTACCAACGTGCCGTGGAGAATGGATAAGATAGAATTTAGTGGAGTTGAAACGGCCCGAAAGATGACCCAAGATCCTATGATCCCAAACCTCGGCAGCCCCAAACGAATGTGCCCCAAACCCCACATGGCGCTCTCTCAGCTCCCGACACGACCAGATGGGCGGCCAGGCCAGGCACCACGACTGCGGCCAGAGGATCTAAGCCGACGAGCTCCGGCCGCTGGGAATTGAGCTCCTGCTCAGGCGCTTATTGTTCCTAGTAGTAAGGCCAGGAGCCTCTAGTCAGTAGCATCCTTGCTCCAACTGGCTCCTAGTAGAAATGCCCTTTGTTAGTACAGTAATGCACAGTGTAGCTTCTTGTTCCCATTTGTGGATCCAAATGGTTGGAAGTCCATGGGGTGCAAAACGCTTAGTGACTTGGGAACAGCAGAACTGACTGATACTGACTGGCTCATTGGGGGCAAGCTGAGCGCACGAGTTCGCCTTTTCGTGCACAATAAATGCTTTAAACACGTTCGATGCGACCTCTAACTGAAGAAACTTCTGGTCGAAACCTCTGACCTTGCTAGGCCTTGAAATTCACAAGCCGTGAGACGTCGGACATCGAACAGGTGTTCCTTGACAGATCCATGATCCATGTTCTTGACGTTTTTGGGTCTCCACCTTAACAAATCACTTGGCAACGGACCAACCTTCATATCTGAAAACAACTCCCGCAAAATAGACCGCCCTGGTCGTTTTCCACCAGTCCTTGTCGTAGTGCAGCTCTTTGATGGAGAAAGCGGCACTTTTGCAGGGTAAGACCCGCAAACGTCGGCTAATGCCAGTGCAGTTGCGGAACTCCACCTGACGATTGGAGATACATTCACAGTGGCCAAATGCTGCAGAACAGCATCCGACCAGGGCTTTCGCTGTTTACAGGTCTTTGGACTGTGACCGATCGTTGGAAGGAGATCTGAAAAAGTCCGTCCACTTTAGGAGCTGTTGGTTATAGAATATGATAGAATTGTAGCAGCGTCCCAATGAGCTCGCATGACCCTACCAAACGTCCGGACATCGGTCCGAACATGCTTTACCTCGTTAGTACATGCCTTCGAACGTGACCGAGTGGGAAGCCAAAGGTACCCGGATCTGGTAGAGCCCGCCGATCTCGTAGTTCCGAAACAGCACCACGTCGGGTGTGAACCTGAGGATCGAAACATTGAAATTGAAAAGCAGGGTGTCCACCCAACAACACTGTAGTCCAAGACATGTCGAAACTTTCAGCCAGGCAATCATATGCGGGGTCTGCTCCCGACAAAGGCCACCCAAATCTACAGTAGATTTTTAATAGATTATCGTGAGGCCTATGGAGCTGCCACCATCTGCCGAGGAACCAAAAAGGGCACGGCTCGCCCTTATCTTTGCCTCCTCGGTCAGCTAGAAACCGAGGATTCTTCAAGAAGTTCACCTGGTTTCGAGGGCAGCACAATGCGGGAAGTGCGGAAGGATGCGGCTGCTGCACCTGCCCTCCGCCCATATGTTTCTTTTCGCGAGTGCATGTGGGGCCCCAAAAGGCACTTGTTTTCCGCATATTAGACCTTCGAGTATACCTGGAAAGTTGTCTGTGCCGACAGCATGAGCCCTGAAAAGGCTCCTTGGCTCCGGCTTTTCACCGTAATTTCTAAGAGATCACGTGCTGATCCTTGACATCATCAATACTTAAGGATTACAATAAGATCGCCACAAATTAGTGAGGGGGGACCCTAAATGTAACTTATATACATGTTCCTTGACTTTGAGGGTCAAACTTGTATATAATATAAAAATATATGTATAATATAACAAGTTGTTTTTAAGTCAATAATACGGTCAATAATGTAATGATACATGTTCGACCCCCCAGCTAACATTTTTCTATTGAACATCAACTAGTAAGGATGAGCCACGTGCTCCTTATGCGAATGGCGCTCATCACGTGCCTTCATCTGCATCCTTTTCACGATCTCCCGGTTCTTCGCTTTCTGATCGGCGTTCAGACCCGCAGGCATCCGAGGACGCTTCCGAAGCCGCTCCTGGCGGGCGCCCATGGGTGATGTGGGCTGTGGCGGTGGCAATGGCGGCAATGGGTGACGTAAAAGGGCAACTGAAGCACCGTTCACCAAGATCCGCATGCAGCTAACCCAACAGAAAAGAAGCCAGCATTTGCTGGACTGAAATGGAAGGGCCTTCATATCACAATATTGTATATCACCATCACCCGCCTGACGCGAAAAGGGTTCCCAGATCAAGGCTTTCTATTCATGGCCTTCCCCCAAGTAGAACGGTAGAACGTAAAGCGTCCGAGGAAAAAGCAAATGAATGAAAGCTGTGGTCCCTGGTTGCCTGGCGCCTGGCAGATGTTCTCGACCTCACTGTGAAAACACGTTCAATACGAAGCCAACTCCCCCCCTATTCACACAAACGAGACCGGAGTCCGGAGTATGTATTTTTATTGTGTATTTTTTTGGGGGGCGAGAAAACCCGTCGTTGTGTTTTCTCATGTAGGGCAACAAGGGATTCGCATGGCTTCGATTTGGGTCACAAGCCCTGACCATGGTCACCCGCCTGGATCCTACCAGCGGAAGCTCCCTCGCTGACCACGACCGTCGCCTGAAGCTCCGCGGCAATGGTGTTCCGTTGCTCCTCGGTGAGGGTCGCCTTCACCTGGCTTCACCACGCCCCTCTCGGGTGCGGCTTCGGGCCCCGAAGAGTTTGGCTTCGGAATGGTGGGTGGTCAAACAGGTCCAACGGGAGGTTCCTGGTGGCTTGAGGAGCCGATTCTTGCAAGCCTTTTGCGGTGCAAATGATAGGGAATTCCAAGCTTCCAGACTCAAGGCCTGTGCACATGCCCCCCAGCCAAACCCATCCCAAAAACGATTGACAAACACGGGCCCTCTGCGCAGACCAAAAGACCTGCATCGTCTCTGCTCGAAGCTTCTGCGATCGTGTCATCTTGAAGTGATTGGGCTCCTGGCACGGTTGTTCCGAATCAGCAACACCCCTGGAATTCTTGGACATCGTGCCTAACATACCAATGACTTACCAACACGACTGCGAACCATAGTTGGTACGTGCGTCATTGTTTGGAATTGTTGGGCAATGTATCTGCACAGCGTATCAAACATATAGTGATTTGATTGATATGTGCGCAATGCTTCTTTAAGGACTTGCCGTCATCAAACGCAAGGCACAAATCAGTGATCACTTTGTGGTTGGAGACTCGTTGATTTGAGGTGCTCTGATACTCTGAGATGCTACAAGCTTAATGTTTGACTGTCATGCTTGGAATGACCTACTTAAGGGCCAACAATACAACTGACCAAACAAACACACATAAATATGTTTAAACATGATATATTATATATATATTACTACACAGTATACAAGCACATTTGGATGATATATTTTCTTCAGTCCTCCGGCTTGGAGACTGCCAGCAAGTTGTCATGCTGAGGGATTGTTCCCTTCTTAATGTCATAGTAGCGCTCCATGTCTTCCATCATGCCACGCCTCAACAAGAATCAGAATTGTCTGCTGATAGTTGATGATTAATGTGTGGAGACGCCAAACCTGTCAGCAGCACGCAAAGGTGTGCTTGCGCAATGTTCGTTGAGTGAGGCCAGCCACAAACAAAGAATTTTCATGAATTTTCTAATAGATTGCAGTGTCGATTTTCTGAGGACACCTGGACACCAGCGATGGGCGAAAAGTCGTTGCTTCTAAGCCCCGCACGGCACAATTAACCGCTCGCTCTCCAGCTGATTGCGGTCAAGCATGTGCTTCAGCTTGCCTCAACTAAGGACCCGCATGCAGCCACTCTCAACTCCAACAATTCTGAACCGTGATTCAATGATTCACTCAGCTGCCACCCTAACACCCCAGCCTAACAGAACAAAAAAAACCACAGCCACCCCACCTTGATCCCACGCACCATGTGTCACCGCGGACTCTCACCGTGTGCGCTTTCTCACGACGGGTGGCTCTCGGGGACCGGCACCTGCTCCCGCATGACTAAGCCCCACCGCTCCAGCAAAGCTTCCGCCTCCTGCGGCGGAGCACGGTGCGCTACTTGGGACTCCAAGAAGTGCTTGCAGGGAACCAGTTCTATGAAGCAGATCTTGCTTGGTCAAAAGGCTTCAGGAATGCGCGAATGTGAGCAAACTAGCCAGATCTAACAACAAACGCAAAACAGCCACTGGGAGTCACACTACTCCTTCCTCACCTTCCACCATCCTTTGCTCCAGGTGGAGTTCAACTTTGGCTGTGCCTATTCTCCAATTTGCCCCAGTTTCCACTCCCACAACCTTCTAAACGATGCCAAGGTCTCCTGGCCACCTCACCACACTCCACCGCCGTCTCCTGCTGATCGGACTCCCGCGCGCCCTCGATCTGCACGCGCAGGAGCTCTTGCAGCTCTGCGAGGCGCCCCTCTTCGGAGTACACCTGGCGCGCGGGTCCGATGCGTGAGGCCGCTGCGTCTTGAGGCGCAGAAGGGGCTGGGGTCGAAGAGGTGGCCATTCAGGTGGCTGTCGAAGAGATCCTTCATTCAGTGGACTGTGAGATCCAGAGCTCAGGAGCACACCCTGAAGAGGACTTCAACTCAGGTCGTCCGACCCTGCCTGGTCCTGAATATCTTTAATCTCCTCCACCTCCTGTGGATGACGCAGCCAGGCATCATTTCATGGCGAACCGCAAAAAAGGTCATTGGTTGCAGTCCAGGTGCTCCGCATGGACGTGGCTCTCCAAACTGGGCTTTATTCGCGGCTAGGCTACTGTCAATGCCGTCTCCCATTCGAACTCTTCTCCATCGAACTCTGCACCACAATAGGTGGGGGTCAACTTTCAAAAAGGCTTTGGAGGATTGATTCATGACCTGGCAACCGGTTCCCCAACGTATATCAACCTTGAAACTTACAAAAAATGCTTTCAAGGCCTTACCTGTTGTTATGGCCCTGATGCATGCAATACAGCACATAAAAGAACCAATCCTGTAGCCAGCCAAATTTGTTGCACATCAATTTCTTTCGAATGAACACTTTCTTCCCAAAAAGGGTCATGACTCTTCACCCAGTTCACCAACTCTCTTTGGTGTGAGGCGATTCCTCCCCAACGACAAGGGGTCCACTCCACACCGTCCAGCGCCCACCGTCCACCCACCGTCCACCGTCCTTGTTCAGGTTGATCTCCCCATCGGCTCGGATGAAGGTGTCCGCTTTGGGCACTTCTTCTGCACCTTGAGCGTCACCCATGACGCCAAGCTGGGCGGGGCGAGTTGGGAGAAGGGGGGGTACGAGATGTACCAATCAAATGAACGGTTCTCCGTCGCCGGCAGATTTGGTCAATTTCCGGAGTTTGTTTCTGTGAATGTGCAAGTTGACATCATCCCCTTCAGGAATCAGGGTGGCCTGGTACCACTCTTGGAATGGAGTATGTGATGAATCGGTTGTGGTTCGTCAAGGGTCACTTGATGACTGATGTGGTGATTTGCAATGTCTTGGTGTGTGTTGCCTCAACTTTGAAGTGACATGTAGCATGCTGATTGGTATGTGGCAAGGTGTATCGTTTAACAGTGGTGTTCTGTACCTGGTGGCGTCTAGCACGGTAAATTGTCCTGTGACCGTGATGTGATGGGCTATGGCGGTGGTTTAATTGTTTGAAGTATTGAACCGAGGTGAAAAACCTTGCCTTTTTCGTGCATTTCTTCAGATGTCTTGACGATGGGATACTTTCCTGCCTTGGGAAACTTCTCTAGACATCTCTAGTTTGGGACACTTTCATTTAGAAATCTCCACTTGTCAGAACTTTTCTGTCGGCACCTCTGCTTTCGGATACTCTTCGGTAATTTGGGATTCTCTCCTCTGTCAATTTCTACTTTAGGTCACTGTTCTATAGAAACCTCCACTTTCGGATTCACTTCCCAATTATGTACTTGTTGGCAGTTCATCTCTTTCTCTCTTTAGAATTCGTTCTTGGTTCTTCTCTGTAATGGCAATCCATTGCTATTAAGTTTGGTTTATTTTTAATACTACCCGCCCGTCAACAAACCTTCTGGCCAATTTGACAAACAGAAGGGCCCCCAGTGAGTTTGGTCCGTCTTTTGCGCCAAAACATGGTGACGTCTTGTACGCAGTTTGCCTCCGTCCGGTGCCTGGGCAGTTTGCCTACTAAAGCAAGCATCGGAATGATTTCCACCAATACCGGGAAAGGACTCGAACACGCATGTTGGGCGATGTTGCATTTGGGACCGCCAAACACCGCGTTCACTCCCCGACTCCGTTTCGAAAGGGAGATGGGCACAGCGCCGGCCATCTTTGAGCAAAATCAACCCCCACCATTAAATTCAACATGGTTCATGTCTCATGATTCTCACGAGGATGTCCCACGAAATCGTGGCCAGCCATCGTGGCAGTTTCTGACGGGTCCCGTCGTCCATGCGCCTGCCTCCACGCGCCACATCTCTGGGTGCCGCACCATCGGCCGCTCCCTCTTCCGGATCTCCAGTTTCGGGGTGCTCGGCGTAAAGTTCCCTAAAAGCATCCTCGTAGATGTAGCCCACCTGACATATGGCGCCAGGCCGGCGCATACGGCGCTGCGGGGCTCAGAGAGAAAACGGCCAAGAGAGAGAGAGAGGGAGGGGATACAAAAAACTGGGGAGATCGTAAGCAGTAATACAGTATACAGAATAAACACTTTGACGCGGGCCCAAGTAAAAACCGCAGATCAAACAAGCACATACCTTCAAGCATCTGCCACTCCTCCAGGGTGGTTAGCTGCAGTTGAGCCGCATAGCCCTGTGCATAATCCCGTGCTTTTGGCGGGGCTGGAGGCTCAGCATCTGGTGAAACATCGGCATCCGACATGGTCGGAGCCAGATCCCGTGCAGAATTGAAGTATAAACTGCGGAGCCAAATGCAACGGCACGGTGGGGACTCGGATTCAACACATTCAACCAAAAACTCTGGCCAAATGCCCCTTATGCTCGTGACAGCTCCAGCTGCTGTAAATGATATCTCATGCCCTCCTTCATGATGATGCTATGATTCCCTGCCGTCTGAGAATCGGAAGTCCACATGCTCTGGCACAAACTGATGCTGTGGATCATTGGTCATGAGAAACACTTCTTCAGCTCATGCTTGCAAGGTTGTTATGTATTCGTTTAGAGACTCGAGATGTTTAGAATTGTTTAGAGTTTCAGCAGGGGCAGCTGTATTGGGCGTGTTCTTGCTTTCATTGTCTACATGAGGGATGAGTCAAGTTTCATGGGAAGCAGCCTGCCTCAATCCTGGACACTCCTTCAGATGTGTGTATAATCTCAAATCACTTCTCAAATCATAAGGTTCAAGCTAGGAGTTCAAATGTTTCTTGTCAGCAAGCTGGTGCCCAATCCAAGTTCACAATGTGAGAAGCTCCTCCCATATGTCCACGCTGCTCACACGACGATCAGTCAGGATTTCTCCCCCGTTTCTCGCGCACTTTGGCAACTCCCATCCCTCTGATTCAGGAGCGTCCACCAGGAACTTCTCAGCGTCGCAATGGACGTGCAAGGTGAGCACGAAAGGCACCTGGGGGCATCACGGAGTCGCAACCCATCATGTGATGGACCTTTTCTGGTCTGGAAACAATATGGCAGGTCTTTCCCCTCTTCAGGGTCAGCTCTTTTCTCACGGGTCTCATCCCTCAATGGGACTCATTTGGTGGGGTTGGTTGTTTCTGGGCATTGAAAGCTTTCCTGGTTGTACAAGAAAAAGGTAAATTCCTGACCCTTCCGATGAAGTATGGTGCAAACGGTTCCTCCTTAGGTCCTTGTCCCTCATGGGGTGAATGGTGCCTACACGTGTCCACTACATGTGTCCACTGTTCGAGCAACATCTCTTCTTGCCGGCAAAATGCTGAAACCTGTCCAGGGAGATCAGGTTCCCAAATCGATGGAATGATGGCCTGAGCTCGCGTGCTGATATACAAAGGCAGCCGGGCTGATATACGATGATATATGCAGTGTTTGTATCAGACCATTCATGAAGGTGTTTCATCTTAAGGCTAGTCGCTCGACTAGCCTTCTAAACACTTTCGCTTCTACGTATATTCGTCTCTGGGAGTGCACAAGGATCGCGTGAGTCGCCCTCACAACCCGCGTCGAAAGAAAGAGTGAATCTCAGTAAAACTTATATTCTTCCTTGCATTGCTGTGCACCTCTTTCAAGCTCTGAAACTTAACACCAAACTCTCCAAAAACTCTCAAACTCCCGAGCTGCATAGGTACCAGGGCTTGCCAGCCTGGTCCGTAAGAGCACTGAGCGTCTTCGACTTAAGAGGCTGGCAGCGCTGGAGCCATTCCTTTGCCGCACAATGCGCTTCTTGTCGAAGATACTCAGCCGCTCCCCCTCCACCCCATCCATCACGCACACAAAGATTTGACGCAGCTGATCTTCGAAGGGGAAAGTCGACTTTCCTCAGAAGTGCCATATCTTCACCAAAGAGATTCAATATGTTTCAATTGAACATGG